CTTTACGAGCTCTGTGTTTTTTCTGAGCCCATCGGTGAAAAATCTATTGAGGTTGAAGGAGTTCGTGCATGTCACATTTGTGGTGCACTAATGTGTTTTCTGTGGCGGAATCGGGCAATCGGCCATTTGCAACACAGAGATCCTCTTCTCTTAGACATACCACCCTTTTCTTACTTTGAAACACAATTTAGATAGTTTGGACATAATTTCTGTTCGCCTCAGCACAGAAGGGTTCATGTTTTGAGTGTTATGACATTGAATGTGTCAGTATTAATGTATGTTTCATGGAGAGTATACAGCATTTTAAGATTTGGCTTTGAACTTTATTTATACAACAGTCATAGTTCTGGTCCTTAATTGGTCGAATGACGTTCAGAGAGTGCAACAGTCCAAAAACACTGTTTGTATCGCTGTCTGTGCTTGTTTCAGACAAACCAGCCAATGTGTAATGGTGGTCGGTATTTTTAAATTCAGCTTCATGAAATGAAAATGTATTTTTTTAAATGCATATTGTTAATCTTACCGCAACGGTTCATCCATGCATGTCAACAATTTATTTGACCTCATCATTTTTATAGCTCGATCTTCTACTTTGCGGAGAAAATTACATTAGAAGAGCATAATTAGTAGAGCCCGACCGATAAAGTATTTTGAAGGCCGATACCGATACAAATATTTGTTGATTTTAAAATCCGATATTCCGATATATCGGTCGATATTTTTTATATATTTTCTTTTTTTTTTTTTTTCAGAAACACGCAACAAAACATTACAACGCATTCTCACCCCAAGGCGTCACCTTTGACCATGCTTCAATATTTGACGTTTTAGGCGCCCTTTAGCGTCACTTACATGACGCGATCCTACGGCGTCATCTAACTGACGCTAAAGGAAAGCGTCAGTTAGAGGACGCGGTTAGGTTTAGGTGTGGGGTGGGGGTAGGGTACACGCGATCCTAGGGCGTCATCTAACTGACGCTAAAGGGCGCCTAAAGCGTCAGATATTGAAGCATGTCCAAATGCTTCCCAAGGCGTCAGTTAGGTGACGCCTTGGGAGTGAGAATGGGCTGAACATTAACAGGTTTCCCTAACATTAGTTATTTGTAGTTATTTATGAGTTTTAACTAAAATAATATGATAATGCATTTTAAAAAGAAACTTGTTTCTTTTATTGTCACAACAGAACAGACTGATGATCGTGGCATTAGCTAGCTTTGTGGTTAGCTAGTCTATGATGAGCCATAATTTAGCAATGGATAACGTCATACTGCAAATTGTAATACATTTTCAATATAACAGGCCAAGAAGAGATGATACGTCTCATTGCTATAACTGCCACACGCTATTAAAGTAACTTCAGTCACATTGTCAAAAGTTAAAAGGACACTCAGTCAACTACACTGTAACAACGTAACGTAATTATTACAAGCTGATTCCGCTTCACTCCCGGCTTATTTAACAGCAGCAAACGTCAAATTTTGTCATGCTTATTTGAGTTAAGAGAACTGATGGGGATGTAATTTTAATTGTTATTCAAGCAATGTATGTCTCGTGACCAACGCAATGCGTGTTGCCAACAGGGACAGTGTAGAGTGCCCTCTGGTGGACAAACTATACAACTCCAACACGCATGACATGGTTCAAGCGTGTTTCGTCCGTTTTTATTATTTATTTTTGAAATATTCATTTATCGGCCATTATAACTGGTGATACCGATATTTTGGAAAATGCCTAATATCGGCCGATAATATCGGCCTGGCTCCAATAATTAGAGCACTTTAATAAATAACTGTGTATTATTTTTTTAGCTGCATCACAGGTCCCATGATATATAATGTGTTTAGCCAACACATACAGCTTTTTTAATGTATGTTAGTCAGTGTGCTGGTCTCGAATAATACCAGAAACTCAGTATTGGCGATAATTTAAGGAGCGTATAAAGTGAAGCAGGTTTGCGGACTTAAAAGCCCCGGAGGAAACTTGAACATTAGCACCACTCAACACTAATTACCTACTCGAACAGGGGCTCATAATCAGCCTTGTCAAAAAATGTGATTAAGCACCATATCCACATGCATACAAATTCCTGTATCCATGACCTCTGATGCTCTGCCCGGGATTTACCCCGCAATGTTAAAACTATTTAGTAGGGTGTAGCACCCAGTTCAGCCAGCAAACAGAAAAACTCATGATGAACTGTAGTCATAGATATATGCCAGATGTTTGTGAAAAAAACATACTCTGCATTTGAAGCTACGCATGATGTTTTACATAAGCACTGGAAAAACAGAGACTTAGGGTGGGGGAACTAACCAATGAGGATCTCTCATCACTGGAGCCCATTAACAGCATACATCCTGCTGTACAAACCTTGTAAGTGGACCGGAGGAAGTGTTGATTAATGAGACATTTTTCTCAGTTACTTTCTCTTTGCTTTTACTGTAAGTGAATGTTAGAAGCAGCATTCTGGGATCTAATTACTGACAACATACGCACAACATAGCATTAGACATCTGTAAGTGTGGATTACACACAGGTATTTCAACAGATCCCTCGGCCACCCAGACATTTCATGGGAATTGATCACTGAGGACTAGATGAGTAACTTCAGACTGATGTAAAAACTGATCGTATTTGACAGTTGAACTAAAAGCTCACTAGAAGATGAAAGTTTTGTTGTCACAAAAAGGGAGAAATTAAAATTGAAAAAATATAATTATTAAAACATTTATTTGTCTTCCGCGAGGCTCCAGTAAGATGTCCTTGATCGTGTCTCGAACCATATTCATCCGCGCAGAAGAGCCGAAGCACAAATAAAATAAAAAAATGTTCTGTAAAAATGCAGTTTTATTTTTAGAATAAAAAAAATATCAAGATATAGTAGAAGCTTTTAAGTCATAATCTTCTTTGACCCATTTAAACCAGTTTCGGATGTTAAAATAGCAAAGCATTAGGCTACTAGGCCTACCTGTTAGTGAAGAAAAGACGTGACTTCTTTATTTTAGCTTGCATGATGTCTTTGTGTTTCCTTGTCATATGTTTAGTTAAAAGTTAAAAGAGTAAATATATCAAAGGAGTGAGAATATCTTTCCAGTGAAGATAACATTGTGTGACGTTATAAACAGTCGATGTGTATGTGTATGGCCAAAATCAAAGCGAGAAAGAGTTACATTTGGTTTGTCATGTTAAACCATTTCACATTGTGAAAATGTCAAAACATGTCAAAGAACTGATATCATATTGCGTTAATGCTGCATATTGAATATGACATTAGTTTTCCAAGGTAGGCTGGTTATGGACTGTTAAACTGTCTATGCATACGATGGCTCCATACACTGATTATTTTAGTATCCTGGCACAAGAGCTTGAACATGTGATATGTCGGCCACTATCTCCGTGGATGAGCACCTCACCATACATGGCCCTGAATCTATCACTGCAGTTATCTCAAATTCAGGTTAAAGGTTGAGTCAGACTATGTGTGGGCTTAGTCTGCTCTCTGGTGGATGAGTAGAGAGTGGCTTGAAATATAGCATTTCATTTATGTGGTAAAAATAAACTTAAACATAATATAGAAGCCTCACACAACATTTGCTCATTTGCATGAGCATACCATCAGTAACATCCAACAGAAGCAGCCAATTATCATGACATTTCTCCAAACTCATGTGATGAAGAAGAGATTGAGAAGGTGGAGTGAGTTTAAGAAAAGGAGAGAGGAATGTGGAAAGGGATAAGGGATGGTACGAGTGAAGATACAGAAGGTAGGCCTACATGCTTTCTAATGAACTGGGGGGTCCCCCTTATTGACCATGAAATAAGCATGTTCTAGAGAGAAACAGATCCATAGTGTCACTATGGTATTTCACTTGAGTATTGTACTGGATGATTGCTAATAGCGTAGCCTATGTTTTGTTGTTTTGAGACGGCCTTATAGTGGCAGGTTTAGTAAATGTCTAAACATTTTCAGAATTGAAGTTCAAGAACACTGAGATGGATGACCAAGTCTTCAATGGATGAGGCTTGTGGAGGTGTTTAGGCAGAATAACCATGGATTCAATATTTATAAGGATTTTCTTTATCATTTTCTGCCCTAAAACTGTCTGAGCGCCACTCAGGCTCATCGACACACATCAGTCGGACACTAGGTGCCGTGTGCTTTGATTAATAACTCTGAAAACATGCTATAACAAAATTCTCCTTGTAGGCCGTTTATCCGATTTGCTCGAAACTTGCTCGACATGCATCATCTAGACTAAAGACCCTTGTGGCAAAACATTTATCAAAAGAATTGCGCTCGGTCCAACCATTTAACAGACACAAGCCAATGAAATCTGAGGGTGCAGCCCATCTTCACTAATAGGTTAATACTGAACGCAAAAGGAAACTTAGTACACATAGACGAGATGACTTTCTGTTTACACACGTCAGAATTTCCCATAGGGGCCCTACGAAAGAAAATCCTGTTGTTTATGGTGCTCCGCGGGTCCTACCATGCCAGTGACGTCATCGAAATTGCCAGCGCTAACAAGCGCAATTTTGCGTTGCTTATAAAAAGCTATATTAATATTTTTTATTAAAATGTTTAGTGTAATTTACTTTTAATTGTCATAAACAACACGTTTTCATCGTCGATTTTTTTTCAGTTCAGTTCATCTTTAATAATGCCATAATTGCATGTTTGATGAAGCTGAAAATTGGCATGCCTGTACACATTATCTCTTGGTGGACGTCCTCTATTTTCACTAGGATACACTGGAAAACATGGCCTACCATTTCAAATTGACATATTCAGGTGTTCCAGATTTTGTACAAATTTGCCATATAGTAACACTATAATAAGCAATTTTACATTTTTGCTAATTTGTCATGTTACCAGACATGATTAAGTAAATGTCTGTCCATCTAAAATTAAGATTTGCTTTGTCTCTTTTTAGATAATTTATAGTGTAACATTTCTAAAATGATGCGGTGTTATTTGTTTTGAGAGGAAAAATGTACTCACTTTGTATATATTTTTTTTATTTCAAAAAGTTAACAAATCAACATTTTAGTTAAGATTCTGAAAATAATTACAGTAATACAAATGTTTGACAAAACATTTGCTTATCTAACTGCAAACATACAAAAAAGTCATTAAAACACTCTTTAATAGATGGTTAAATTGTTAACAACATATAAGCAGCAATATTAAATACACTGTACATGTTTTATCTGCCTTCATGCCTTTTGAAATCTTAAATATGTATTTTTTGATCCAGAGTCAGTATGAACGCATGTCAAAGTTTATACTCCCGCGCTTCCCAGTCTTGCCTGGATTTTGATCAATAGATGAGTTCAATATGGTAATTAATGTTATTTGCTGCACAGTCATAGTGTGTATCATACATTTGGGTGGGGGTGTGTATGTGTGATATCATTCTGAAGATGGTTTAGGGCATAAAATAAGCAATCTCTGAGAAACATTGAGGATGACTCTGCCATGTTCACCGTTTCTCCAGTTTCTTAAACTTGGCCTCTGTGAATAAACACACAAACAGAAGTTATTACACAAGTGAAATACAAAATACTGAAAGCTGCACATCTGAGTGTTATATTAATCTCACACAATGCGCTTGCTACTATAAAATAAGAGGAGCCAGAACATCTTTCTTGGTCTAATAGCGCCATCTAATGTCCATTTAATCAGTTAACCATCAACTGTTCAGCAATTAATCCAGTGGTATTTCATTTTCATTTATATCTAGTCTCTTCATGAATAAATGTAAATGTACATCTTACACATAATGAGTATTGCTTTAACAGTCTATAGATCGACATATAAAAAGAAACTAATTAGTTCATAAAATTAGCAGACTAAAAACTATGAGCATCATAAGCTGGAACAAGCAGTTGTTGAATAAACTATCATAAATTACGGACATGCCTTTCTATATTCAGAATTAGCTTCCAAATTCATAAAGGTTGTGTTCATTTGTGAAGATTATCATAATAAACTAAATGTTTAAGAATCATATACTTTTGTTCGCCACAGAGCTAATTTTCAGCAAAAGCTAATGGCATCATGTCTATATAAAAATCAAATAATAAAACATAATGCAGTGTTTTCCCCACAGAGTTCTTGAAGTTTGTACTCGCCCAGTTTCTTTGAATATGTGTCTAGTTTATATGCAGCCTGCTCCAGAGCCGTAACCTGCTCCTCGATCTGGTTAATCTGATCCAGATAAGACTGCAAACCGCCATCTAAAGCCAAAAATGACAACATACTTTAAGATGTTTGATATATATGGCTTGCATATTCTGTCAGCAAATCACAAATGAAACACTCTGTGTACTTTACCTTCTAAAAAACACTATGAGTGCAAAATACATTAACATAAATAAACACACATGATGGTTGATTTATATATATATATATATATATATATATATATCTCGGAGCCACATTTCTTACACTTCTGATTGAGATCTTGCAGATTGCGGCTGATGTTGATGGATATGTCCTTCATCTCCATGTACTTCAGACTGGTGAGTTTGTTCATGTTTTCGAGGAGTTTGTAGTCCTCACAGGTGGCTAAACAGGACAGGAGTAAACAGGACATTTTTTACACACACAGATCTAGAAGTCTAACAGATTCATCATTATTATTATTATTCTCTTCCCATTACCAGTGAGCTCTCCCTGTAGGAAAACTGCCATTTTGTCAAACATGTCTCTGCAGAGCTCATTGATATCCGGCTCGGCGGGTTCAGTGGCCTCCTCTGCGGTCTCTACACCTCCCTCATCTGTGAGAGACAGCAAACTCTTTCAGTGTCCCAAAACATAGAGAGCTGCCTACCCAGGCACAACTTCTGGGCATTAAATGCAGTTTCTAAATGCCTATGATGGATCAAATTGCAGGCTGGGTAGGCATTAGGCAACTTATTAGATTTAGAGACACTGATACAGTCTAGTTAGTGTGTGTGTGTGTGTATATATATATATATATATAAATCTTCTCAATAGGAAGATAAGTAGTCAAATATCCAAAACAGGAAGAGAAACAAGTTGCCTTAGCTTAAAAATAAGTGTCACGAACACAACATGCTCAATAGAAACACTGGAAAGCTAAGAATCTCTACATGTAAGCTTGCAGTGTACAGTGACTTGCACAAAGCTTGATTTATTTACAAATGCAGCTCACTATTATTACTGGGTCTTTTGGCTTTCGGGGTCTCTGTCGCATCGCTCGTGGCGGCATCTATCTTGGGTTCGGGTTCAGAAACGGGTTCGGCTGAGAGGTTGAGGTCGGTCGGGGGAGCTGGTGCTTTACAGATGCTGTCCATCGCTGCGGCCTCCTCCCCCGTAGCTGCCATTTTCACATTATCACATGACCATAACCAGTTTCACGTGACTTCTCGTTTCCGTCTTCTTTTCTTATGCCGTGAAATGAAACTATTACTTAAAAAGAAAAAAAAATATGGCAAAACGAAACGGACAGAAGCCGATCTATGTATGAAGTGTGACAAGCATTTGTGATTATTATTATTTTTTTTAAGAGCTCAGATTAATTGCTCATATTTCTCTTAGTATTTAATATTCTTTTTGGCGTGCATGTCAGATACAATTTCTAAATTCAAATGTGAAATCTAAATGCGGGTGATTGAGGGTAATAATTAATAAAGAATAGGACAGAAAACACATGTTTTATATACAGATATGGGTGGGGTCGCCAATTTAAAAAGAGTGAAGCAAGGAACAATGGGCTGCTACTAGATGAATTTCCGGTCATATGATTTTCAAAATAATGATTTATTCAAGATATGAACTCGGAATTCATGCCTTAATGTCTAATATATTCGTGTATTCATTTTACATGGCCATTTTGAGCTCGTTTTTACACACGTATTAGGATCAGGGATATATTTTAATTAATTTCATTTTTCCATTTCGTTTTAATATATTTGTATTTATAGAATTCAGTGTTACTTGGTTAAGTACCTACTCATGTTTGCTATAGCATTAAGCCTACATTTGTAGGTCAATGACATTATTTTATTTTAAAATAATTTGATAAATTCGTGACATTTCACCTGTTTAGTTTGATTTTTTTTTAGTACATTTAAATAATACATATTGTTTTATATTTTGTTATTTTTAACCCCCAAAATAAAATAAACGGACAAATAAACAGACATTATAAACATTATAAACAACAAATAAACATTTTGAAATGTTTGCTACACTGTCAGGTGATACAACTACAGTATCTGCAACTTGTCATAAAACAGTCAACAATTAATTAAAACACTTTTTGAAATGTTATTTACAACTGAAACTTGTACACAATGTTTATGACTCAAACATTTTACATCAGTTTTGAATTTTTTTTTAAACACAGTTTTTAATGCAATTTTCTTATTCAGTAGTAATTAATATATATATATATATATATATATATATATATATATATATATATATATATATATATATATATATATATATATATATATATATATATATATATATTATTCTGAATGCGTGTTTCTATAAGACCTTTATTTTGAAAAGTGTCCCAGCCTACAACCACCCAGCTAGTCACTGGAGTCTCCAGCTTCACATGCCTGGCTCCGGCCCGCTCTCAGCCCCGCTGCCCTCTGCCTGTGACGGGAATCCATCGTGACAGGATACCAGCAGCACCAGCGACTGTAAACATGGCGGCGTGCACAGCCGGATGCCTGTGCTATGCGAAGCCCCCTTACTGAAGCCCCGATCATCGACACACTTCCATGATGGAGACAGAGGAGGAGCAGCATATGACCACGCTGTTATGCATGGGTTTCCCAGACCCGGTAGCCATCCGGAAAGCCCTGCGCCTGGCCAAAAACGACATCAACGAGGCTGTCGCGCTGCTCACCAACGAAAGCCCGGGACTCGGATACGGCTACGAGCCGATGGAGAGCGGCACTTCCCCGGGCTCCGGCCTCAGTGGAGACGGCGAGAACAGCGGGCGCACGGGCACCGGAGGGTTTGATCCTCCGCCGGCGTATCACGATGTAGTGGAAAGTGAGGTAAGATTATGCAACGCATGCATTTGTGATAATTTGCACGGCTGCTTGAGGCGGAACCACTGGGGCTGTCAAAAACCGGAGGGAAAGGCGCACGCACGCCTTCAACGCCCATGTGTAACTTATGCGTTACCTGTTGTGCTTATGCATGCAACACCTGACGAGGATGTCGAGAAATTGTCTCTTAACCTTAGGATCCTTGTGCATAACAGTAGCAGATTACGAATGAATTGTGCTGCCATGTGAATGAAGTTGTAGGATCTTGGGGGATGGGTGTCGTAGATTGCCTTTAAATGCACGACCTGTTAGAGTGTTTCTTTTTGTGTTGAACGTAAAACATTAGGCCTATGGAGTGTTTTCCCCTCCTGATTAATAATTAAACCAGTGTCATTATTTACTAACAGTTGAGCAATAACAGGAAATGTGTGGCTGATGATTTACATGTCAGATCGCTGAACCATAAAATGTCACTAGACTCCAGCTTGTCATCTGTTATATTAACAGATGCAGGCGATACTATTGACCAGTGTTACTGGGTTACATTTTAGTAGCCAAAGCTCCTGTGTATTAGAATGTGAATATGAAAAGACTTGTGTGCTTGAAGTCTTTCCCACAGGTCTCGAATGGTTATTTTTTTTCTGGATTTGGATAAACAGCTCAAGTTTTGTGTAGTTCTGTCAGCTTTGTTTATTGCCCAACTGTTACAATGTTTCTTTCGCTGTTTACCTCATGGCTTCTTTGACCTGTTGGTCAACCAACACTAAAATGCACTGATTTAAAATGTCAGGCCTGACTTGTGTGCACAAATTACTTCAACTTTTGTTATTATTATTAGTGTCAAGAAAGCTTGTAAAAATTGTAGCTTGTAATAGTAGTTCAACTACAGTGAGATATGTTAATAGTAGTTAGTTTAAGCTAGCTACAAGCTAGCTAGCTACTAAAGTAATAGGGATAGTTCTCCCAACAATGGAAATTCTGTCATCTCTTTCTTACCTTGTAGTTCCAAACCCGTCTGACTCATTCATCTTGGGTTACAAATGATGATATTACGAATGATATTTTAATGAAATCTGAGAGATTTCTGTCCCTCAATTGACAGCTACGCAACTGACACAGTAGTGGTATATTTCTGTCATAATTTCTTGAAGTTAAACCAAACTTTTATTTTGTCGTGAAGATATTTCAGTTTTAGTCGGTGTGAATTTGACTGTAGTTTACCCAAATAAAACGGTTTTAAAGCTTGTGAAGTGATTCGCAGAACAGCTCTTGAGATGAAGTTCACGTGTTCATTCACGGCAGACGCTGAAACACCGTCAGCGTCAACTATATGGTTTGTCTTTGAATAAACCAAAGCATAACCTGTAGACGTCTTTCAGACATGATGGGCGGATACATGATGATTGAACGGAAATGTTATTTAGGTCTAGCCGTTCTGTTCGAGCCCTGTTTGTAATTGCTTCATATAGAAATGCCACTGTAGCAAAAGAAATTCAGTTGACATTTAAACTTGGTCCTCTCCTGTCTTCCTCCCCCTATGTCTTCGGTTTGCCTCTTTTGCCTGAAAAGTGTTGTTGGATGACTGGTAGGATTGACAAAGTTGAATGGTAGTTGTGTAATGTTCTTGGCATTTGGGAAGGGTAGTGATACTATTAGGAAACCATATACTGTTCAGTGTTTCCAACAGGATTTTTTAAGACTGTGTGAGCGCGAGCAAGAGGGAGATTTGAAAAAGAGATGGTTGAGAGTAGAGCTGGGCAATAAAGTGATAATGATATAAGTATCGCAATGTAATCATGTTCCTCAATAAAATAACAAGAATTTGTTAACTGTTCGATTCGGTCGAGAAAGACAACGTATGTTTATCAGAATCAGGATTTTGGATCCCTGCATTATGTCTTAAAGTGACAGCAGGCTAATATTCCTACTGCTATCAGTGTTTAATGTTAATCAATTCAATTTCTGTACCTGAAAACTACTGCTAAACCTACTGGAAAAGCACTTTTTATTTGTATCTTTGCTCTATTGTAATTATTTGTGTCGTTGCTTCTAGATAGATTATTTGTTCTTATCTTCTTTATTTTTATTTGACAGTAGCCCTTTTCCCCCGAACATAGCACATACCGATACTGTGACACTAAAACCGTGATAATTATTTATTTTATTTTTTTTAAGTAATTTGAACCATTACATCTCTAATTTACTGTAGCAAGTTAACACTAACTACACCATGGTATTGTGGCAGATATGTGGGATATTCATATTGAATGTTATTATATTATTAATGTGGACATGTATTAAAGGTGTAATGGAATATAACAAAGTCCTTTTAGGCAAGTCATGCCACTCGGCCGCCATCTTGGCAACGCCTCTGGGCAGCTATTTCGGACTAACAAGACCAGGCTCCTATCTAAATGAATGGGTAGAGACTCAGAACTGCACTTTCACTGGTCACTGGGACATAAAAACTGCTTGTATAGAAACTAGTAATAAAATATGGTAAAAATCGCTGAAAAAGTTTGATGACTTTGCCCCAAAATAAGGTTTAAAACGCCTTTTCCCCCACAGGTTATACGTTTACTGCGCTCTCTGTCGTGTGCGCGCTACCGCTCGCTCTAGATTCTGGGAGATTTGAACTAATTTGCGGTCATCAGGGAGCCGCTATCAATCTGCGGGAGACTCCCGAAACTTCTGGGAGACTTGGGATGTCTGATATTTACACAACCAACACATATCAAATCTGCCGCCTTTTTTAAATAGTAACTTTTCCGCTGTTGTAAACCTCAACTGTGCGCATGCGTCGGAGGAACCAGACGATAGGCTTCGGGCTTAAATGTTTCCCGGCTTGACTGTTAAAAGCAGACGATTGGCTTTCCAGAAAGGCTAACACAGAAAGCGAAAATTCTCGTGACAGCAGCATCTGTCTAAAAACAATCCTAACCATTCTATTTAATCAGAAACGATCTTAAAACAGGGCTTTAATTGCTTTAGTCTCTGAATATAATAGTATTTTTTTGTGATTAAGCTATAACATACTTTTATACTAAATGTATTTAGGCTACTATTTTTCATACAAATACCGTAGAAACCAGATAGTTACATTTTACCATGACAATGGGGTCCTAGTTGTCCTAGTCCTATATGCATGGTTTTAACTGGTTATCATGATCTAGCGTCAGGATGTAGCTCTTAGATTCAATGCATTACCTGAGTATTGGATTTTAGCATGGCTTATTTTGCAAACAACATAACTCTTGTCGACCTCCTTAGTGTTTTTAGTGTTTATTTTTATAGCGGAAGCCAAAAGGAGTCCACAATTCAGCTCTGTAAACTGCGGCGGCAACTGGTGAGCTA